GATGACAAAAAGGGCCTAAACTTTAATTGCAACAAAAAGAGGTCACAATTCCTTTCTTTTCTAGAGTTTGGAAACTGTTCCATATTTCTGAGGTTGGTTTTATACACAGCATAAGGGCATTCAGGCTTTCTCCATGCATGACATGTGCCTGGTCCAGGCCCCTCAACCATCTGCTTGGAAAGGATGGGATGAATCCTGAATCCTGAATCCTGAATCCTGAATCCTGAATCCTGAATCCTGAATCCTGTGCAGTGACACATAGATATGAGCAGGAGGATATTGCCTGCAGGCAGATGCAACCAGTTGCTGCAGATGCACCTGGCAGATTATCTGCTGTAGTAAATAGCCTGGTGTTACAGTGACAGGTGGCTTCTTCCAGAATGTGGTTTGTTTTTCTCAGGCCGCTCTAAAGCATAGTTGGCTTGTCCTCTTCCCATCACCTCCCTGTGTGCCGTGTGCTAACATGAAATGACGAGCTTGTCTCCCTTCCTTCTCCACATCAGAGGCAGGAGAGCTGAGATGAGCAGTGACACATTCACCCTCAGCTGTGCTTGCAGAGCTGCTGCCTGAACCAGGCTGCTCCCCTGCTCTGCGAGTGCACATCTGGGAGGCTGTGTTCCTGCTTTTTGGAGGAGTGGAGCACATAAAGCTGGCTCTGTCTGAGCCTGGCATCAGAGTGTGCAGCAGGTTTGTCCATCACACTTTTCACTGATGTTCTCTTACCTCACCTCTAGTGTTTGAATGTTACAATATGGTCACATCTTCCTTTTGCTCCCCTTATCGGGCTTATCCAACCATGAAGACCAATTACTGATTTTAGTAACTTAATTGTTTTATGAGAATTGAACCACTTAGCCACTCCTGGGACAGATCACTCTGTATATTCATGGTGACACTCAATACATCCACTGTGACTTTCAAATGCAAGTGAGCACAGCGTGACTTCTCATCTCTGGAGCCACTCCCACACTCCAAGTCACAACAAATAGAAGGAGGTACCAGAATATCATCATTGGCATAAGTAATTCCATTAGAAAGATGTAGAGGAAATGTTAAAAGCAGGATTGTCCCCTGCTAGAAATAATTTGCTTTTTTGGTAATGTGTTAAGATCCTGCAATGAGAAGAACCAGTGATGTTAATAAACTTCCAGGAATTCTGGTTGTAAAGGCACAATACAAGTATTGCTGGCTTTCTAAGAATGTCACGTGCATCTAAGTGGGCTGAAAATTAGAAGCAAACACTTCTAACACAGGGTCTCCCATGGTTTATTAAACAGATTAGTTCCTCAAGGGTTATTTCAACACTGAAGGGTAGCTTGGGAAGTGCATATGCTACAGGAGAGCAGAGCAGGAGGATTTGATGCTTTATATGTAATTCCAAAACACACAGCTTAGAGAAATCATTTGGAGCCCGTATGAATCTGAAATCCATTCAGGATTAATGTGCTACCAAAAAGTGCACATGGAAGAACTTGCTTTGAACTTCTCCCTCAAATTGCAGCTGTTAATAGACATCTTTGAAAATACTCAACCCAGTTTCTCACTGAAAACTGAGAACCAGGAATTTAGATTTTGATGTGTTGGACTAGAACAAAAAAAAACCCAAACAAAAAAAAAGCAAAAACCCCCCAAAACACCCCAAAACAAAACAAAAAAGCAGAAAGTAGTGAGTCAGGTGTAAGACCATGGCAGAAAATGAAATCTGTCTGTCATTCCCGGGAGCGGTGCGGGTTTGTTGGGATGGGTCTGTCGCTCACAGGAGCGGTGCGGGTTTGTTGGGATGGGTCTGTCGCTCACAGGAGCGGTGCGGGTTTGTTGGGATGGGTCTGTGGTTCCCAGGAGCGGTGCGGGTTTGTTGGGATGGGTCTGTGGCTCACAGGAGCGGTGCGGGTTTGTCGGGCCGGGGTCTGTGGTTCCCAGGAGCGGTGTGGGTTTGTCGGGCCGGGGTCTGTCGCGTCCCCGGGGCCGGCTGGCGGTCCCGTGCTGACATCTAGCGACCACCGGAGGGGATCGGGCACCCACCGCCCCCCGGCACCCACCCGGCTCCTCGGCATCGAGCCAGGGGCGGGCAAAGCGCTACAAATTCCGAAGTGATCCCCAAGGCTGAGGGGCACAGTAAGAGCCGTGAGCGCGTTCGGGTCTCAGGTTGTCATCCCAAACCTGTGCTACGGATCCCGGGAAATACAGCCCTGCTCACTGCTGCGAGCACGTCAGGGTTTGCATCTTATATCCAAACACAAGGAGGCTGGAAAGCGAGAAGTGTTCAAGCATCACATTATGTGATTGGCTCATTTTCTGCTGAGTGCAAAAGGATGAGCGGGTGGATGAGCGGGGTTACTCTACTGGAAGCTCCCCGAACTGCTGGAAGTGATGGGTGGATACTTCATCCCCTCTGTGTAACAGCACGAAACCAGCAAGAACAACTGCGTAGAAAATGCACGAGCTGTGGCAATGCTGTGCTGGGTCTGGCTGTTTGGAAATGATTGGTGGATAGAGATAAAAAGCCAAGGTGGGGAAAGCAGGTGGAGCACACTCTGGCAGGTGTGTGCCAAAAACACAGGTCTGGACTAGCCAGAGGTCATGGAAGCATGACAGGAGTGCAACGAGAACTGGAGCTGCTGAAGTATTTGTGTTTCTGCTGATTCCTTGTTTATCACTTGTCTGTCACACAGCTGAGGTTTTCCTCCCAAAAATTCCCCAGGCATGCAGGAATGTATCACTTTTATTTTGGGGAATCTTAAGGCTAAGACACAGGACTCTGCAGGTCAGACTCCTGTTCTCAGTCCTGAAGCTCTCTCAGGTCCTAACAAGGAGTTTGATTCTGCTTGTAAAACCTAGCCTGAGAAATCAGGTGGGTGTGCAGAGCCTGTGCTTGTGATTCTCCTACAGTAATTGTGTTCATGGTAATATAAAAGGCAGTGAAAGCTTCCATTAGTGCCTGTTCCTGCAAAGACCACCACAATTCCTACAGCTTTAACAGCAGCATGAAGAGTTTCAGTACAACAAAACAGTGATGACAAAGCCAGGCTCTCACCAGCAGTTGTCCATTCGAAGACCTAGGAGGGCATTTTATGAAGGAGACTTCCAAAAGGGAAATCTTCATGCAACTTTAAAGGTTGTTTTGAAGCAGTTTATTCAAAGTTAGAGTTTGTTAAACAAGTACAAGCCTCTGGGATAGGTTTTGCTCTTCTTATGTCACTCAAGTCATACTTTTTCCCCTTCACTAGATGGCAGCAAGAAGATAGCTATAGGGATTTGCAGGATTAGTATTTTTTTTAAAAAAATACAGTAGACAGAGAGTTTTCAATTGGTTTCTTGTTTGAACGGGTTTCTTTAGCAGTCCCCTTAGACAGAAAGCTCTCAACAACCAAACCAACCAGCAGCACGTTGGCCAAGCGCAGCGGCAGAGGAACCTCAAACATCTCTTTTTCAGGCAGGAGAAGAGAGACAGCATAGCTACGGTTTTTGGTGAGTGTTTCAGTGGGGAAGGAGAGATTATCCGGTCTGCAGTTCCCTCTGCTGGCAAAGTCGCTTCTTGCAGCAGCCGGGCTAGGGGGGACATCATTCTCTCCAATCTGGCTTTGCTTCAGTCTTGCAGGTAGGACACAGGATGCTTGGACTGGATGTAGAGTTCCTGCTGCTCCCAAGTCCCAGTCTCCTTCTCTTGCTCCTCCTACCTGGTCTCCTTAGACTTCCAGCCCTTTAGCACTAGGACAAAGTTCTTTATGGCAGCTAGAAATGCATGGACGATCCTTAGCTCTGGATAAAACTGAGCAGCCCTCGTTATTGCTTCTGCTGAGGGAATTCCAGATACTGAGCCCTGCTCAGAGAGGAGTGAGCAGGTATTTCCAGAGAAAGCTTGACTTCTGTTATGCAGAATTTCATCCCAGATCATGAAACTACTGAAGAGAAGGCAATGACGGGACCCCAGCTGCTGCCCTGGAGTCCAAACAAAGGTGTTGCCTTCCTTCACTGAAATAAAACCGAGTGCCGAGGGAAGCACGGGAACTGTAGGATACCAGTGGGAAGGTGCTTGGTTTGCCAAGAAGAAAGTGTTAATGGAAGCAGCAGAACACAGAAAGACAGGGTGGGCTGGCTGTTCAGAGCTGAATAACTCTGTGTAGTCATGGTGTGGCTTGGTCAAGGTGGTGCCTGGTCAGACTGGCAGTCATGGCTTCTGCAAGCCCATATAACACATCCTTAAACATTACAGGCACTAAGGAAGGTGAAGGGGATTCTCCTGCTCACTGACTTTCTGGTTTCTCCCACTGAGTGTGCTTGTTTGGCTCTTACACTTCTGCAGAAGTGACCCATGAGAAGAGGAGGTGATGCTTGAGGTACTTGAGAGAGCTGGGTGTGACAGAGGGCCCTGAAGAAAAACTGAAAAGGAAAGATGTTCCAGAAGGAAAACTGAAAGGAAAAGATGTTCCAGAAGGAAAACTGAAAGGGAAAGATGTTCCAGAAGGAAAACTGAAAGGGAAAGATGTTCCAGAAGGAAAACTGAAAGGGAAAGATGTTCCAGAAGGAAAACTGAAAGGGAAAGATGTTCCAGTGGCTTGGGGCTGGCAGTAGATGCAGGATGTTGCACGATGCAAGGAAATGGGGACAGGCTTTCAATCAGAGGGTTTTTTAAGCAGGGTTTTGGGCACAGGATGATCTCCAGCCTTCTGCCCCAAACAAAAATGCTTTGTTCTCTTTCTTGCTTTTCCAAAGGTTTGTGCTTTTCTGGGAGCTTTCAGTTCCCTCCTGCAACATGAATATCCCAACCTAACGAGTGAGGGAAAACTTGGCTGTTCTAATAAGACAAGGGAGCAGTCGAAAATGGATTAAGAAGGGATTGAATGTGTCTTGTGAGAGCTTGGCTATTGATTTCTAACTCTCCCATTCTGATGTTATTGCAGAAATGATTTTCTCCTGCACTGTGCAGAGATTAAATATTAATAAATAGAAAATTTAAAAAAAGGGGGGGGGTGGGTGGAGAAAAAGACCAGATCCCAAGACATCCTGCTGCACAATTAAAAACCAAATGAAGGATTTCTAGAATGAAAAACTTTATTTCCTGAAGTTTTCTTGAGCTCAGAGTAGAAACATAAGGCGGTTTGATGAGATAATTTGTAATGTTTCTATTTAGTGTTTTTAGCAGGGGTGTGTGATTTTGAGCCATATCTCATTACAGTAGGTTGAGGATAAAGACAGAATAAAAAAGGGATGGAGATTTACTTAGATCTCATTTTCCAGTGACCCATTTACTCACTGATGATGAAGTAAGGGGGAACACACAGGTCTGCTCTGCCTTCACTTGCACTGCATCCTGCAGTCATGCTCAGTTCCATTAGGCTTCTATTTATTATTTAACAGAGGAGATGGAAGACAAGGCACACCAAGGTGATTTTTATGTCCTAGACATTTCATTTGCACAAAGAGTGCACGAGCTGCTACTTCCCATGAACTCTGTGGTTTCCAAGTGGAACCCACATTCCCTGGGTGTCTGCAGGAGGAGGTGAATGCACAGGCAGGCTCTGCATGCAGGTCAGGGCTCCCAGGGCACACAGCCTTTCTGCTCCCCACTGATCATTCTGCCCTATCTTCCTCCTCAGTCCATCAAACTGGGCATTAACTGAGACAAAAAAGAGAGCACAATATGAGGATCTCATGCCAAATTTTTTGCAAGATCAGTATTTTTTTTTTCTGTAGCAAGATATGGGATGATGGAAAACACAAATTCAATTTGGAGGCACGGAATATGGAAGACTCTTCCTTTTCAAGGGAGTTGTAACCATGAGAAGGGGAATTGTTAGGGTCTTACCCAAATAATTCATGTGCTCTTCCAGCACTCTGAAAGACTGGTACATTATGTTGGTACATTGTCCAACAAATTCAGAGCAAAATTAGGGAATGCAGACAGAAGGGGAAGATGAAATAACTCTATGGTCTCATGAGCACAACCAAAAGTAGGATTTGACCCACTGCTTTAGTCCAATCCTGTTTTTAACAGTCAGTGGTGTTTCTGGTTGATTTCCATCCTAATTCAATAGTTTTCAAGCTGCACAAGATGTTTGATCAGTGTTTTACATCCCAAAGAGACCCTTCTTTGACAGACTCATAGCTGGATATACCTTGTCTGCTCCTGTCTCTATTAATCTTTTTTAATGATCTCTCTTGAATTTCATGGCTGTGGCTGGTTGTGGCTTTGCTGCTGTCAGTTCTTCATGGCCTTGATGCTCAGCTATTTCAAGTCAGCTCATTGACTTTGGATCTTGTCCCCACATTACTCATTTCATTATGGTCCTGCAGCCTGCTCTTTGTTTCCTCAGCAAGGCAAGCTCAGATGGAACTTTCAAGCCTGTGGAGAGAGACCCAGCACTTGGATGGCAGAGATACTGAGCTGTTTCTCTGGATTTATGGGAATTTGGTAGGTAAATTTGTGTCAAACATGTTGACAAGTGGAAACCTGGCCCTAGGCTTCAGATTCTGCTGTAGGGATGAGCAGATGGGGCTCCAGTCTTTAGTCTTTTACAATTCACTGTGCGCCTGAGGTGACCCAAGTCTGTGAATCAGTGGGAATCAAGAAGCCAAAAGCTTGTGAAACTCCGGTTATAAATTGCTGGAGCTTCTGTAGCTTAAATAGTGGCTCCTATAAGCAGAGCTGGAGTACCTCACCATGCACACCCTCAGTCTGTCCTGAAAATAAAACACTCTAAACTGAGCAGTGGCCCAAGAATGCTTAGAGAGGCCATTGTGAGGGATGAGCTGATGGTTTCTAACCCTGGAAGCCACAGGAAACGGTACTCTCAGTTGCATTCTGTGCTTCACTCCCTTTAACAGAGCAGTGTTTGCAGTCCCAGCCCTCAGAGGACCATCCACAAAAGATTGCAGAGCACTGATATGGTGGGCAGTGCTCCATCCATCCATCCATCCATCCATCCATCCATCCATCCATCCATCCATCCCCTGCTGGCTCTCCAGTGCAGTACCAGAAAAAAGGGAGGCAATGTCCTTCCTGGGTGTCTAAAAAGAGCGTCTGCAGATTACCCAGCATGTCACACCCAGGTTTAGAAGCACCATAAGGCACCATTTGGCAGACACCAGGCAATATTTAGTGACTACGGGAGCTATATATAATGGAATTATGGAGGGTGTGAGAAAGCAGCACCTCCTCCCATCTGCCCCCTTAAGGGATGCAAATGCTTTGCTATAATACTGTTCCCTGAGAGCTGGAACTTTAGCAAATAAGGGACTTTATTAAGTTGTTAATAAGATTTCATTTTCTCACTAATGCTGCAGTGCTACATTATTAATTTAAAACTGTATTTAGCCTGACATGCTAAAGTGCTAGGCCTCATTATTAATGCATAAACCCATGCCTCTGTTGTTTAATTAAACACTATGATTATGAAGTTCTGATGTGGTTTAATGATAGCAGGCTGGAGTGGCAGTACATTCCTGTGCTCAGATCTCTCCCATTCCCCCTCCTGCTACCTTCCCCTTTCATTTCCCTTCAAAAGCACAAATGCAGTTGTTGCTCTGCTGAATAAACACCACATGACAAATGATGTTGATCTTTCCAAGGTGACAGAGAACTGCATTTTTATTTTCCTAGGCTTAGCTTATTATTGACCAGAGATTTCTCTCCTCCTTCTGTTAATGGCTCTGGAGGTAACTGTTTGTATTTCCCCAGAAGACAATATAATCCTTGCTCCCAGTAAAGTCAATAGCAGTTTCCATCTGACACCAGCAGGGCAGAGTTTCACCCAAAGACAGGAACAGATCTAGGTAAAAACCCCAGGTTTTATATGTCTGTTTAGATGTGGTAATTCCTGAACACTTGTTATCTTGGAGATGGACCTTGGTCCAGGGAGGAAGGTGATGTACTGAATCACATAAGAATTAATGGATCTAGACCAGCATAATAAACACTGTGGAGATTATTTCCCCCCCACAGCATCCTTCTGAATTGGACTCAGGTGATGTGGAGTCCCTATTTCATGCAGCCCATAACTTGTTGTATTCTCAGTGATGTCCTATGCAGGACCAAGGTTTTCTGGGCATTTCTGATAGACTTTCTGCTATGCATTCCTCTCCTTTGTCCCCTCAACATTTGGCTTCATCATCTTATTCCTCGCTGTTTCTCACAATGATTCTTTCTGAACAGCAGCTTACCCAATCCGGCTTGCAGAGCCTGTTACTTTAATGACTAGGAGTAAAATTAAATATATTCTTATGTACTCTCCTGATTAATAAGGATTTGCACAGATCAGCCCTCTGTGCCTTTGTTTCTCTCCACACCCCTTGCCTGTTTGTCTGTTCAAACAGGAGGTTCTTGGCTTAGAGCCTCCCATCTCCCAAACTTTGGGGTCTCCTCTCTCTTTTGAAGGCAAGGGGGGTTTTGCTGTGTCCTTTGCTGGAACCAAAATTTTACCCCAAGCATTTTTTCAGCCAAGGAGGAGAGGGGACAAGGAAAAAGTTGCATGACAGCACCAGGGGTGCAGGAGCACTCATCATTCTGGCCATTTCCAGTAGGGTAGATAAAGCCCCTCTTTACTGCCATCCAGGTGAAATCACAGCTGACAACCAGTGCTTTTCCCAGCAGAGACCAAATTTCCTTTTTAAGTAGCCATTTGAAACTTATCTCAGATTTTCATCCTTGTACCTCTTGAAGAAGAAAATTGTTCATTATAATCAACTGTCCTTCACTTTCCTGCCCTGAAAGGGAGTGCACAGATCTGCTCTCTCCATGTGCAAATACAACAGAAATGTTACCAAGCTTAACTTCCTTTAGTAGATTATTTTTTTAAAGTATGTGTTCAGCAAAGTAACCTTTCTCTAACAAAGAGATGACCTTTTTGCATTTATGTAGTGCTTGTTGCTAGGATTTAGATCTTTGCTGAAAGCTGTTATTTCTTTTAAGTACAGGAGAAAGTGCATTTTCACCTCCATTTGGGTAAACCGTCATTTTCTACTGTTCACTGCTTTTCTCGACATGGAATAATAATTCGAGGTTCAGTGGGCTTTTTGAGAGAATGCATTCCAGGAGTGTGGTGAGGCCTGGGAAGTCCTCCACATTTGCTGGTGGGGGAGAAAAGGAAGAGGAGGTAGAAGGCTTCTGAAATGTTTCAGGCTCCTGCATAGTACAGTTGCTCAGCTTCTGCCATCAAATGATATTCAGTTTAGGAGGGTCATGCAGATATTTTATAATCACACACAAAAAGCAGCCTGTGGGTAGCAGGGAAGCTGTACCTGTATGCACAATATATTATTTTTTGGTAGTAGCACCAACATCCATAGGAAGCCACTTTAGGCAGATTTAAGAGGTTTCTGTCCAACTGTGATACTGATGAATAACAGAAATAATCTAATATTACTCTTTGTGTGGCTCTGTTCCTGGTGTCATTGCAAGTCCTCCCATTAATATGGGATGCAGGAGGGACCAGGTGGGTGCACATGCAGAGGGCTGTGCCCGAGGGGAGGGAGAGTTACACACATGTGATCTCTTCTTGAGACACGGAAATGAGCCTCATCTCTCTTAAACCATTTCCTGTATTCATTTCTCTAGATAGTGAGACACTAAAAGAGACCACTAAGAGCAACTTGACTTCTTAGATCTCTTTTCACTGCAAATCAAGCATGAAAAAATCCCTCAGTTCCTTGGAAACCAGTGAAGACCCTGCCTAGTGGGGAGAAAGACCCAAATACCTCCAGCATGTGCAGCTGCAGTTGTCTCCAAATAGAAACAGGCAAAGTCAAAATGTTCCCTAGGAATATTCACACTTTTCTTGGTCAGAACTGCTCTTCAAACAGATGACTTCAGAAGCTGGATGTGCTGTTTGGCAGTCTCACAGAATTTCAGGCGGTGGAAGGCAGTATCATAAGCATTTAGGAATTGTGTACAATGATTGAATTGAATTTATTGCTCTGTGCAGAGTTCAGGGGGTGCTGTGGTGTCCAGCCAGACCAGCTGGGATGGCAGGAACTGTCCCTCTTACACCTTCTTTCTCTGTCTCACATGCACTTAGAAGAGAGCAGTCGGTGGTTTCTCCACGATTGAAACAACTAAAATTAATCAGGTCCAAATCCATCCTGCCCAAGAGACCATGAATTCAGCAGGATCAGAAGCCCTTGGTTAAACAGCCCCTGAAAGTCTATCAGAAGTTTATTAGTATGGTAATTTATCTGGGTAAGCACATAAAGATGCTAATTGAAATGCTTTTTTTTGGCATTATTTTTTAAAGGCAGAAAGGCTATAGATTTTCTAGGAAGAAAAGTAGAGCTGTCACTTACATTTAATCATTTCATCGTGTTATAATTTCATTATTTTCTTATGCTTCATTTTAAACATTATTTTATATTTTATTTTATTTTAAGTGTAAAGAACAAAGACCTTGATATTCCAAAGATTTGGAGCTCATGCCCTGTCTGATTCTGGCCTTGATGCATGGAGATAGATTGAATTAATCAAACTTCTTCACACTGCTATTTAATCGGGTTTACAATTAGCTGAGGGCTGCAGGTCTCCCGGGCCTATCAGCTGTAATACAGCAGCTCTGCAGCCACACACTGGGAGTGCCTCACAGACCAGATTGTCATAATGTGGCATGAAATTAAAGCGTGATGTTACTTGACAACAGAATTTATATCTCTCCCTCCCCCTCTTTCTTCTCCTTAACAAAGTCCCTACCTAGAGACAGGCCTCCCTGTCGAGTTGCACCCACCTGCTCTAAGCTACACAGCTGCCTTCAAAAGAGTTTCTGATATTATTAAACCAATCTGTGTTCCTTTGCAGTCACTCTGATAGTCTTTCCTTTCAGAAGCAGATTATTTGGCTGTGAGGAGCTAACAGGCATACAGCTCTTAACTTGTTTCAATTCTGACTCCCATGTATTGACCTCGTCTCCCCCTCTCTTCCTTCTCGCAGCACTGGTGTCTGCCCTCCCCACACCCAGATCTGCACGCTGATCTCCAGCCTTCTCCACCCCACTGCCATTCAGATGGACAAAAATCTAAGAGGACTGAGGAACCTGGTTGTTCCATCCCTCACCCCTCATCTCTTGGCAAGCAGCATGGATGCATGGTTAGGGAATGGGATTTATAATTCCTCCCCACACAAACAAGTCAAGATCTGGTGAACAACACTGCTAACAACAGCTAATTAACTGTCTGTTGATGATTTTGTGTCATTCAGTAGGCCTGTCATAGGAAGAGCTGGTAACATGAATGTAATGAAGCCAGGAGGAGGCTGGAAAGAAGTGAGGATCAGGCTGAGTGGGTCATGGAGGGTGTTCTTCCCTCCTTGAACTGACCTGGAATCCAATCTAATTCAATGTACACCTTAGAAATCCACGGGCAGATGATGAAGTACCCTCTGCAGCTGAGAGGAAAGGGCTGGGGAAATGTTCCTGCTGTTGAGGTTTGACTGTTGACTGTTCTCCTCAGCTGCAGCCCTGGAAGGTGCCGGAATTACTCTGGCCATGGAGAATCCCACACCAGGACAGGAAGCCTGGCCCAGTGGTCCAGGGGATGCAGCTCTGCTCCTGCTGAAGGCAATGAGGGAGGCTCCTGCAGAAACAAGGGCTGGCCTTTGATGACTTTGGTGACACAGTCTGGTTTCTGCTCCTGGGTTCTTGTGACTTCTCTGGGTCTGGGAGTGACCAGACCCACTGTCCCTTCAGTTTGTAATAA